TAACGCCTTCTGGGTTCTGACCTTCGTATCACATGCGTGTTTTTCGTCTTGCCTCTCGGCCAAGCAGGCGCCTGTTTCAACGATGATAATAGTAAATTCTTTCTGTTGTCCTGTCGAAACTGTATGTGCCGCACCACTTTGGCACGATGGCCACACTGGATGTATCCTAATACAACGCAGAAACCGTGTGGCAGTAGAATCATCATCATCAGGAGACATATCCTGCACTACATTTGGGATTAGGATAAGTTCCGCTCGTGACTCGCTATCTAGAGTAGCTATGTTTCGGGCTTGAAATGAATCGTCGCTTCAGACTAGCAAGGAGACAATCATATAATTCGTATATGATACAATTTTAAGGATGAGATGAATCTATGATGAAGGATGATGAGCGCACTAGCAGATATAAATAGACTTTGGTGATGTATGTTTTTTTTTTTGCAAACGTCTTGGATTATAAGCCACGCATAAGGCAATTACTTTGTACTTAGGTACTTAGTTGAGCGTGGTTAGTACCTTCTATAATAACATTGCATTTTGTTTTTAATAAAACTAATGTTTTCGCACGCTAGTTGCCAGGAATCTGCGTCCAAGGTAGCGGGGCAAGCTTCCCGACTATTGTATTTGCTTAACTGAAATAGTTACTGAACGGCGTATCATCTGCCTTTAAGCTTTATTTTAAACAGCCTGCCAATATTGCATATAGAATAAGGGGGGCGATTGAATGTCGTTTCCTCTTAATATTTCCTTGTGCAAACTGAGTTATGCTAGTGATAGCCATCCCTCGGAAAAATCTTGAAAGCTAATTTACTAAAAATGCCGAAGTAATGCCGGAGTAAAAAGTATCTGTCCAAAAAAGCGTGTTACTTCCCTGATAAAGTATCCTTGACATCATACCCAAATAGAGTTTAATCTTTCAAAAAATGTTCTATAAAGTCACCCCATTTGTCTTTATCGTTCCCTCTTTTACGTGCTCATAGGTCATTTTAACCGTTATTTTCACTTAAAATCTGTTACGCCCGTATTTGTATAATCAAAATACTAAACCTTTTGACAACGAAACATAACATTTCATGACGAACATAAAATATAACAAGCCTTATCCTTCCGAAAATTATCCTCTATTTTTTTAACTGCGTCAAAAACCTTTAAGTGCAATTTAGTCAGCTTTTAATAAATTTATAATTAAATAATTTTAATAAATAGCATTTTTTTTTATAGAAATTATACCAATTATGATTTTATCAGATGACCTAGATTAAACACAGAATAAAAACACTACGCCTTATATCTCTGAGATATTTGAAATCTCTCTGGCTATGTTAAATTGTTGTTGTTATGTTGGCTAAATTAAAACGAGGTATCAAGCTGATATAAAAGGCAACTCTTTAACTTTTGTTTTTGTGAAGAGGAAGTTACGACATTTATTAGGATCTCTATGAGCACCTTAAGGAAACACTGCAGTAAGGACACCTGATAGGGAAGCTATTCATATATTACATCTGGTTATCGCACATCTGCTTAATTACTGAGCATAATTTTACCAATGGCTTACCTGTATCGTTATTTCTCCTGTACACACGTCCAGAAGGCTGTCGCATGTTTTCTGTTTTACAGATTTTTTTCTCAGGATTAATGAATTCACTAGTGTTGCAAATGTGTTTTTTGTGACTAGGGTAAAATTGTTTACCTAATAAAATTGTTAGGGGAAGAGTGATTAATTAGAAAATATTTTACCATCCTCTTAATTATAATAGTCATCTAAAACGCTGTTGCTGAGTTTGACCATGCTTTTCATGTACACATATTGCATGTACTCATACAAAGTAAGTTTTATAAGATTATTCTCAGCTGTTCTCTCATACGGCAAGTGCTCGTAAAACGCCTCGCTGGCCTTTTCCAGTTTTCTCTGCCAAAGCTATTATCCTATTCAAGATAATGATAATCGTGTATATATATATATATGATCGTTCGATATCATTGTTATTTATGGTCCTTTACCATGCTTCGGTGTTTGAGTAGGGAAACTATATTTTGTTGCTTCCAAAGGGACTGACTGCGAGAATGTTATGCACGTGACTATGGGAAGGTGATTGTAACGTCTAGTAGACGTAATAAAACAAAAAATACGGAAATAACCGAGGGCGGAGAATGACGTAATTATCTCCTTATTGCCGTTTTCTTATCAAGCCGAGTAAGTATCTTGAATTTTCATAGTCGACCTGCGCACATACTACGCCTTGGGAATTTTTCCGTAGGCAAGCTAGTTGTTGAAAAAAATCAAAATACTTTCAAAAGTGTCAACTTTGTTTCTTCATCATTCCCTAGCAGACCGGTCTTGGTAGGGCCAATCGACAATCTAGATAATAACAGCTTGCATTTACAGAACTAGTCCTTAGTTTTGTAATGGGACCAGATTTGGGTCGTATTATTATTATTATTATCTACTTCCGTTCAGATGTCCCTATCTATATGATGATAGATATAGAAACTGCGAAGCCGGAACTTGTGAGACACACCCATTCCGAAAACCGGCTAGGGCCTATAAAAAAAATAGCCTTAATAACGTACATTCGGTCAGACTTGGCTTTTTTCATTTTGATTTAGCACTAAATCCCTAATACCGAACAATACCGGTATCTTTACTCGTAGGCATATCGGTAAAGGTAAGGTATTCTGTAATTTTTGGCACCGATACATACACCTATTGGCAATAAGGTCAACGTATATCCTGTATTTTACGATACGACAACATCTTTTAATTGTTCTATACGAAATAGTTTCATATGAAATTAGGTTCACCATCTTCGTACGCGAACGGTTTATTCCTTCGTTAGTTGTAGGCGTTTACACATTTGGCCCTGCGCACTTCGCTAACTAAGAACTATTTATAAACGCAGATATAGGTCCACTCAACCGGTTTTACTTTTTGCTAATAGCTGATTCATTCGCATCAGTACCTGTATAGTGACACTTTAGCTGCTTAGCTTTCGTGATATCAAACTTACTATTAGGTCCCTTATAAAGTTAAATCTGTCTACAATAGACCGTCTTTATATTATTTTTGTCATATTTCAACTTGATATACAAATCATCTCTATCTAACAAAAAGACTCTAACTAAAGATTTCATTTATTAATCCCTTTCTCTCTCTCTCTCTCTCTCTCTCTCTCTCTCTCTGAAGCGCGCATCAAAGCTCGTGGGTTTCTGCCCTATTTCGCGTCCTGACACTCTGCTGGCTTGTGCGAGATGTCCATACATGTTCTTAAACTGACAAACAATAGCAAATAAGTGTTTTCTGAGCAATTTCGTATTAGTGGATGGGTCTTAAAGCGATATTCGATTTCGCTGTTGCATGTTTTTCTACATTTCTGACTCATAAAAACAGATTTTTCACTAAAAATGCACGAAGTTTACGTACTTTTAGCCTAAACCCTGCTATCCAAGAACAATTAAGCATGTAGACGCAATAGAAAATGGAAAAAAAAAAAATGGGGTACTTGGCTTGACTGTTTTCTCTAATAAAATCTGACACAACTTAATTTAATGTGATGAGCGAGCTAGTTTTGAACACATGTTGAAGTTTTTACCTCAAACTATAGCTCGATACTATCGATTTTATTTTGTATTTTGCTTGGGTAGAAACAAACAGTATTTTTCATTTCTCTACTAAAATTTTTTCTACGAAAAATGATTATGAAACTGGCTGTCATAGCACTATCGGCGCGAAACTATATCTTGCTTGAAAAAGTTGTCATAGAAGGTACGGCCTTTTCTGATAGTGGTGAGGGAGCCACCATAATGTTATAGATAATAATTTTGTACATACTGAGCTAGATCTGCTTCTTCTTATACACTGTGCACTGAAACGTTTACGTGGACAGAAATTGGACTCGACTGTTGACAGAATACGACGTTAGTTAGTAGACAAAAGGTAGCATCTCGCATATATATATATATCGATATTGGTAAATTCACTGTTCTGCTGCAGCAAATTTGTGGGCAAAAAATTTACTTATCATATAACGTGATTGTTTCAAAAACTATCTGTGCCAGCCATAAAGTGGGCATATATATAAGTTGCGGCTTTTGAAGCCGAATCCAGTTGTCTGGCGTGTTCCCGCATCCGAAAATTAGTAACGATGCTATTTGAAAGTCAGCTTGTCACAATTAAACTTCTTTGTTTTGTTCGTCGATCAGTGAACTTGATAAGATACGCTCCGGGCTGCTAATTTGAGCTTTTCTACTAATGATAAAAAAAAATTTAGCCACAGTTGTATATAGCTATCAGAGGGAGAGACTGCAGATGGCCAGAAGCAATTCAGGCCACTGTGAGGTGCTACAGCATACCGTTGATTGACAGTGTCATTGAGTATGGATGAAGCCCCTACCATCGAGGGGTGGCGCCACACTTTGCACCTATTTCTGACCATAAATGTCGAATATTTGCTTCTCAGAGAATTTACCGATGCTGCAGAGAATCGATTAAAAAATCTAGGTTTACCAAGAGCGCTGGTGTTGGTCCTAGAGCGTGTACAAAGAAGCACCGAAGGGTATAGGAAACTACGCGACCATTTACATCCCTGGTAAAGGAGCTAAAATAAATCTAGCAATGGATCCGGCAGTTCCAAGTGGTTATGCTTGCCGAAGTTGACGTTAGATAACTTAGAACCGAACAAGGCGATCGGTAATTCAAGCCTCTTGCTTCACGGGGTACCTTTCTGCTAACCATGTCGATTTTCGAGTACCAAAAAAACGTTCATTATTATCGGCTGCTTTTCCAGGTAGCCAAAAAACCGGATGGAATAACATTCATATTTAAAAAGCAAGGCGATTATTCCGTAGGCAGTTAATGAGATTCTTTTAACTATATGCTAGCTTTTTAGACAAAAGATTCTTAATTATAGTTTTGCCGACGAAAATATCGGTGATCTAATTATCGATAAAGAAACAACAATGCTACCAATACTATATAGTGGTGCGTTGTTTACGGGTTAGCCTCGTTATAACTTGATATCTCATCGGATGCAAAAACAGCTACTTTCAGCTTTGAAACTTGTACATATGGACATTCTTTGGTTTACGAGAATGATTCTCGAGATAATCGGGAACGTAGGCAAAGTCCCTGGTAAAACGTCTTTTGCTCCCCGGAAACGGTAAACTCGCTGTTTGTTCAAAATCTGCCTCCAGTGACAATCATCAGTAAGAGGTAATGCGTAGTTTCCCTATTACAGAAATGTAGTCCTATAGTTTACGAAGGTACCGTTTGTATAATAACACAACGAGGCGCATAAAGGTAGCTTGTGAAATGCCGTTACTCGAGTGACAAATTTAAGATCATATATTATAGCATTGGGCGTTAGGAAATGAAAAAATCGAGGTAGGGAAACAACTGTAAAAAAAGCTAGCAGCTTGAAGAATCGACAGATACGACTCAGAAACGTACAATAATGGGGTACGTACAATAATAATGGGGTGGGTAGTGGTGACAAAAACAAATGGTACCTGGCAAGCCTATATATATATGATACCATGACCTTCTTCTCGTCGTATCGTAAACTGTACTTTCATGATTCAAAATATAAGACACTTTTGAATTTTTTTATTGCTGCTTATTATAATGCTTAATAAACGCGTATAATCATGAATAGGTTGACTGCGCCTAGTTCATCATTAAATAATTAGTTTTTCCTTGTTTTATATAGGCCTAAATTTTAACCTTAAATAAGAGTAAGCGAGAACGTAAATCGGCCATGATCTGGGCATTAGATCGTTAAAAACCTAAATCTTGAAAGAAAGATGTCTCATATGAGAGAAAAAATGCCCCTATACGTTAACAATGCCGAAGGATAGAAGAGGCCGCATCGCTACGAGACCAAGCGCGCGTTAGTAATGAGGTCGAAAGCGAAAAGCTAGAGGGCAGTCGAGGGTGGGCCACGGACCACCTTATTCTTTGCTATCGGGAAAATTACTTGAAGCAGTCTGCTAAAAGGAATAGTGGGCCGTGCGAATCCATAAAAAAATGCGATCAAGTTAGGGCAGATTGCTTAGTGATGAATTTATTGCCAAATTATACACTGAAGGGAGCAGAGACAATGTACGATAATTGATTGCCGAATCACTAATTGGTATATATAACTCTATATACCATATATATA